ATGAGCGGTTAGTGGATGGAAAATAACTCAGAGGAGATCTCAAGGGTAGGGGGATTCTTGCTAAACTGACCTGACAGCATTCTTGCTGAAGACAGGCCAGGGTGATCAGATATCAAGGATGGGTGATGAGGACTTTTTGATCAGACTGAGATATCAGGGGACCTAGTTGAAATAAAGCAAGGACCTAGTTGAAAAAAGGGCTTGGAATTCCTACCTAGAGCAATCAGGCAAGAGAAACGAATAAAGGGCATCCAAATTGGAAAGAAGTAAATTATCCTTGTTTACAGATGATATCATCCTATATTTGGAAAAAGACTCCACCAAAAAACTATTAGAACTGATAAATTCAGTAAAGTTGCAGGATAAAAAATCAACATACAAATATCAGTAGCATTTCCATATGCCAACAGGGCACAACCTGAAAAATCAAGAAATTAATCTCATTTACAATTACTGCAAATAAAATACTGAGTAATTAAAGAAGTGAAAGTTCTCTACAATGAAAACTATAGAATATTAGTGAAAGAAATTGAAGAGGACACAAAGAAATGGAAAGATATTCCATGTTCATGAATTGGAAGAATTAAGGTTGTTAAAATGTCCATACTTCCCAAAGCAATATACAGATTCAATACAATCCCTATCAAAATACCAATGACATTCTTCACAGAAAGAGAAAAAGGAATCCTAAAATTTATATGGAGCCACTAAAGACCCAGAATAGCCAAAGCTATCCTAAGCAAAAAGCAAAGAGGGCTCAGAGAGACTTTGTAAACATGGCTGTTTTGTTCCTCCTCCTACCATTCCCCATTCACCCTCACCTTTCTTATAACCTGGATCTCTGATGTCTGAAACTGCAGCAGTAATTTTGTGTTCACAAAGAAATACACAGGAGGAAAAAAGCACCTTCATTAAGGAGGGTGTAATGAAAATAAAGAGCTGGAGCTCCTTTTGGCATCATTAGTCAGTAAACAAATGCCAGCAGCCACCTGAGTCTTCATTTGTCTTGTCTTTGCATTTTCCAGCTGATAAATCTACCATTTTCACCTATTTCCGGTGTCCCTCCCACCTCAGGTGAAATTTCTGTCCTATTTGGTTCCAGAGTTAATAATATTGGAAGAAGAACTACTTTAAATTTATTCCTGCTTTAGATCCCACCCCTTGACTCTAGCATTGACTTACTCTAGCAATTGACCTGACCTGGCATGGGTAGAGTACCCAGCACTCTACATGAGGCTCCAGAATGGCATCCTCAGTGTACCTGCTTCATCTTTCATCTGAGATGTGATATTCTGGGGACAATTATGGGCTTCTCAGTTGTTCTCTGAAAAGATTATTTCCACCTCTTACCTGTTTTATGTGAATAAGCTTCTGAGTCTTTGTTTTAAGCCCAAGTCTTCCATGTGAGTGTCAGTTTATAGAACTGGACTTTTTACGCTCCCATTCCTGACTCCTGCTGGACATTGGCTGTCTCTAACCCTGGTCTAGAGGCTGGCACTCTTTTCCCCTTGAGAAGGCCTAATAGACACCAGTGTTAGCCTCCTGAGCATCCATGCTCTTTGGTTTCCCTGCAGACCTGTGGTGGCCCCCTCGCTTCTCATCCTGAACCCAAAGCATGGATAAACCATGCATAAGCCATGATTGGAGATGTCCATAAGATTTGGACTTTGCATGTGTTTTTAAAATCTAGACTATGCTCAGCTGTTAGCTTTTACAGCTGATCAGTTACCCCAGCAGAAAGTCTGACCTGGTAGGTGATTCTAGTGTCATACCAGTCCCATTGCCTGGTCTCATTATAAGAAAATGGTCACATCTTAGCTACAAATCCTTTGATACTTTGATAATAATTCTAGTTACTTGGGATTTGTGGTTTTTCCTTTTAATAATACCATTGAGACCCTGAGGGTTAGTTAATTCTTTTTAAATTTTTAAAAAATGAACTCTGAGGTTATTTATGAACATGTAATAGTCTAATAATAATTGTTGAATGAATGGAAAATGAGTCACTAAGTCCAGGGAAACCTGTAGGTCAGAATAACAACAGTACTTTCTTTTCATATTTCTGTCTTCTGAACAGCTTCAGGGAGTGTGGCCTGGTTGTAATTGATAATGAAAATAGGAGACTTTAATTCTTTCTAGTGCTGTCTTGTTTGATTAGCACCACAATTTGTGTCCAGTAGTTACATGGAAAAAAACAGTTATCTTGGCATTTAAGCTAGTAATTCCAAATGTGACAGAAATGACCTGGACACTGCTTGTAGTGGAAAATATGAAAGAGGCTTAATGTAAAATCCAACCTTCGAGGCCTTTTGTGGCCACTTCTGCTACTCAGGATCCACTCATGCCTGACCGGCACCATTCCCTGGTTTTAATCCACGTATCTGGTTCGCCAGCTGTTTCTTGGCTCATTAAATTTGACAAGGTTCCCAAGATGGTGAAACTAAGCCTCCCTGGTCCTTTTTTTTTTTTTTTTTTTTTTTAACTAGGGAGAGGAAAGAAACATTTTCATCTTCTCATTGCAGTTTTTAATGAAATGTCATTTTTTTTCTTGTTATATGTGGAGTGATGTCAGTGAAAAAGTGCTGGAACGTGAAGAAAAAGCAGGATAAGAAAATGGTAGAAAGAAATGGCAAGCTGCTATATAGAGACTTAAAAATAAACAGAAGGGCCCACTTAGGACCAGTGGATGAGGAAAGCTATCTCAGAGGTTGTCCCACCATGGGCTTGAGTCAATCACAGTTTATCTGATTCACTTTCAGTTCTTTGGAGACAGCAATGTTTGTAAATTCGGTTCCTTTCTATTGAAGAAAAGCTTTTGAGCCATGCCAAACAAGGGTCCTGTGATGAAATCTACAAAGGCCTTAAACTGAAGCCTCCCAAATGAAGGCTAAGGTCTGAAGAAGACTACTTTACACTATGGGTCAGTGAGTGAGCCAGGGGACCTTACTTCACTTTTCTTTTTTTTTTCCTATAGATTCTGACTCTACAGAATAAACAACAATTGAGTATTTTGACCACCAACAACAAAAACATCAAAAGTCTTTAAGTACATAAGCAATAGAATATTGTAGTGTAGAAAATTGCAAGTAATAAAACAGGTAAGATAATAAGTACCTGTATTCCAAAGAAAAGTACATCAAAGGCCATTATAGCAAGTTACCTTACAACAAACATTATAGTCATTTGCTGCCCTGTGTTCTGATTTCCAACTTTCACCTCCCCTCAACATCAGCTACTCATTTCCATGGCATTGTCTGGACTACTGATCACCCAGAACTACTCCAAAATGACGATATGTAACATTCTACTCTTGGCCCATCACTTCCTCCTTCCAGCTCTCCCTCCTTCCATATCCCTTTATCCTTCCACATCTGCCCTTATCCAAACCTCCAGTCACATTCCTCCAAGTCTATCAGAGCCCCAAAGTTTTGAACCAAGATGAAGGCAACCTTCATTCTGCCTTCCTGGAAGCTAGAGTTTGGCCACTGAATGCTGTTGGAGAAAGTCGCAAAATCACACCAAATGGTGCTATCACAGATTCATGATCTCTAATCTCAGCTGGCCTTCCACATGGCCCAGGAATTCTTACATATGTTTAGACATCATTAGCTCCAACAAGTGTGGCCCAACCTTCACAACTCTCCTCAGGCCCCCTTTACCAGTTCACTTACTCTCAGCAAATAATTCTCTTCCTGCTACATGAATAAAACAGGGTCACCATATCTCTAAAACTGTTGATCTGTATTCAACACCAAGAGCTCCAGAGAAAGAGGCATCCCTCTTCCTGTTTAAGACCAATCTCTTTCCTGTACCCTGAATCCCATTTGCATCCTCAGGAACATCTCCATCTACTCTACAGGCCGACTATTTCTCTCCCGGACACATCCTATTATTTCTATTGCAGATCTCTTATTTGTCCTCTCTGCTTCTCTGCCTTTAGTAAGATTCTCCTTACTGAAGACCTGTAGGAGCCTCTTGCTGGTCTTCCTGCCTCTTCCATTCTTTGCTTCTCCCAGTCCACCCTCATCACCTATGAGTAATCTTGCATAGCAATACTAAAACATAAGCCTGACAAGTCTTTCCTCCATTCTTAAAATCCTTTAGGGGCTCCTTATCACCACTAGGAAAAAAGTTCAAACTCCCTGGCATATCATGCCCTTCATAACTGGGTCTTTCCCTAACCTCTCCAGCTCTATCTCTTCTCTGTTTGCCACTTGATGCTTCTGCAATCAAAACCCTCTTTCTTTCCCTAACATACTACTATCTTCCAGGTCTCTGCTTATGCAGGTATCTCTTCCTGAGATGTCTTTTCCATGTCTTGTCATTCCTGATTGGTCAAAGTCTTTCATAAAAGGCTACCACCTCTGTGCTGCCTTCTCTACCCCCACTTCACCTTATAACACTCTATTCTAGGTTAAATGCCTTGGCGTTACAATCACATCCTCCTCATGATTCTTTTCTAGTCTCTATCATGCCTGTATCATTTATTCATCTATTAAGCTGTTTATTTCTTTACACAAATTAACTATAGAAAAATTGAAACTGGCCGGGCACTGTGCTGAGGTCAAGAGTTCGAGACCAGCCTGACCAACATGGTAAAACCCCGTCTCGACTAAAAACACAAAAATTAGCCGGAGTGGTGCATGCCTGTAATCCCAGATACTCAAGATACTGAGGCAGGAGAATCGCTTGAACTCGGGAGGCGGAGATTGCAGTGAACCAAGATCATGCCACTGTATTCAAGCCTGGGCGACAAGAGCGAAACTGTCTCAAAAACAAAAACAAAACCCCAAAAAACCCCTATAATTTTCTATCTAGATTTAACAATACTAAGTTTTGGTATATATTCTAGTATATATTTCTAAGTATATATATAATTCTTTGATAGTGGGTTGACAAATACTGTTTTATAGCATAAATTTTTCAGATAGCATTATAAAGAGCTTTTCACGACACAAATACACATCCACGTCATAATTTTTAATAGCTACTGAGCAGCATTACATTGTATGGATATTTTATTAAAGCCATTCTCCATTCTTAGTAACTTAGAATATTACAAAGTTTCATTATTATAATCTACATTGCAATGATTATGCATAAATATTTGTATGTGTATTTGATAAGGATATTTTCTTACAATCAACTCTTAGAGGTAGAATTTCTGGGTCAAGGAGAATTTTAGATGGTGTTGGGAGATATTTTGCCTAATAGAAGAATCACTCTGTATTTAGATGCTGGTCTGTTTCTCTTCCTTCCCATTAGTCTGGAGCCACCTGCAAGGCGGAAACATTGTTGTGTTAGTTGCTATGTCCCTAGGACTACACTTTAAGTATCACTGCCTCATGTCAGAGTCAAGCATGTCAGAGATTCATGCCATCTGGCTGACTGCTGTTCTCTAAGAACAGGGAAACATAAAATAGGACTTCAGGATCATCAGCACCAAACTTTGTTCTACTATTGTCAAGAGAATAAATCAGCCCAACAGCATGATAAAGCAGAGTGTTTGAGACTATGTGTTAAATGGGTACACATTATGTGAAGTCAACCTTTATGGGCTCTGTCACTCATTTGGTGATTAATAAAGAGAGACATATCTGTGATATTAATATACATATATCACTAGATAATATACTTGTCTCCATTTTTCACAATTAAGAGGAAATTCCTGGAAAATGGCAACCATTATACTTCTATGAATGCCTGTAACTGTGTGTTCTTGGTAAGCCCTCAATAAATGCTTTAGTCACCCAGATGAATCTAGTCTTGATCATAAAACTGTTAGGAGGAGGGACAGGGGGCTCATTCTGCTAATGTTTTCAGCCTCTGATAAAGGGCCAGCTAAGAGAATCAGCTGCTTGCAGGACACTTGTAAAACAGAGTTGAAGGTGACTTTCCTCTGCTCAGCATCACTCACCAGTGGCAGGATGGTCTTGGCTGTGGCAGCCGGTGGGCATTTCTGGGAGTAACATGGAAGGTCAAAGGCCATTTCAGCACCTCAAGAAAATGCACATTCGTTATTGCCACCCAGGAGTTCTTTTCAGCACTGTATCACTAATATTTTGTATATCTGGTTTGAAGAAGTTTTCTGAATGACACACAGCTTCCCACCAACTTTAAAGGATGGTGGAATTTTCTTTAAAAGCTAGTAACAGGAATATAGGGGAAAAGGAAATTAGTGTCTGGAGACATTACCCACACACCAGGGTTGCTCAAAGACTTTTGACTTGAGTTCTGTAGCAATCAAGCACTCGAGGCTCACAGTTCAAGATGAACCCCAGGCTCTTAGCCTAAAAAGTCTACAATCACAGCTGAGCATGATGAGATGGAGAAGAATTAAAACAGGTTCAAACTTACTAAATGATGTAAAATCACTACAAGAAAAATATATCCCATGAAATACTTGAGGCCAAGGTGATAACTAATCAGCTTATTTCTATAAAATGTTTTGACTCTTGCAGAGAAAAGTATTAAAAATAGTCTCTGCAAATGTTCCATCTTACTTTATTTAGAGTAATGGATGCCCTAGGCCCTAGGTCTTCTCCCACACCACTCTCTATTTGGAGAGTTGGGCTTCTACTTCTACTCTCCTTCCCTTGCTTCCCAGGCTGAGATTTCAGGAAGTAGTACAGTGAAAAAAAAAAATGAGACAGCTGTAGTTTGTTAACTTTTAATTGTACGAGTAAAGATATTGGGAAAAAATCCTCTCATGTACCATCACTAATAGTTCAAAAGCAGAGGACATTGTAACGTCCTAGAAAGGTAGACTGAAGAGAAGTTCTCAACTTGGGGCAATTGGGAATTTAAGACAGCATATATATCCCTATCATGTTGCTCTTATTTTTTCTTATTTTACAAAAAATTTGTGAAAACTTCATAATAGGGCAACACTGGCATTTGGGAAACATTCCTTTAGTGTATAACAGTATGTTTTCCATGTTTCCCAAACATAGCCCTTAAAGCAGGGTTCCTCAACCCCTAGGCCATGGTACTGGTCCTTGGCCTGTTAGGAACCTAGGCCACACAGCAGGAGGTGAGTGACTAGGCCAGAGAGCATTATTGCCTGAGCTCTGCTTCCTGTCAGACCAGCTGTGGCATTAGATTCTCACAGAAGCATGAGCCCTGCGGTGAACTGCGCATGTGAGGGATCTAGGTTGCGTGCTCCGTAATAAGAATCTTAGGCTGGGTGCAGTGGTTCACACCTGTAATCCAAGCACTTTGGGAAGCCAAGGCAGGCGGATCACCTGAGGTCAGGAATTCAAGACCATCCTGGCCAGCATGGTGAAACCCCGTCTCTACTAAAAATACAAAAATTAGCTGAGCATGGTGGTGGGCTCCTGTAGTCCCAGATACTTGGGAGGCTGAGGCGTGAGAATTGCTTTAACCCAGGAGGCAGAGGCTGCAGTGAGCAGAGATCGTGCCACTGCACTCCAGCCTGGGTGACAGAGTGAGACTCTGTCCTAAAAGAAAAAAAAAAATCTAATGGCTGATGATCTGGGCTAGAACAGTTTTATCCTAAAGCTATCTCCCTACCCTGTCTGTGGAGAAATTGTCTTCCACAAAACTGGTCCCTGGTGCCTAAAAGATTGGGCACTGCTGCCTTAAAGCACTGCCTTTCTGTTTCCAGTCTGTTCTCAGGCACATTCTCCTCCTGCTCTCCTCCCCAGGCATGTAGCTTCCCTTGCTTACTTTCATCTTTTTCTTCCTCCTGCTATTCTTTTCCTCTGACCCCACGGAGCTCTGATTCCACTATGGGCCAACATCCGTTTTCTTACCTCTTACCTGTATTTCTCCCCAGTCCTCTCCTTTAAATTATATCCTAGATATCCTGATTATACCTCTTTCTTAGGGGGTTTTACCATTGCTGAGTGTGAGAGAAGGGAAGTAGCAGGATCAGCCCACCCAGTTCACACAACAGCTGAGGAAATTGGCCAAGTGTACCCAGCACTGGGGTTCTGCTGGAACTCACCTATTTCACTCCTGAGGCCGCTCCTGCTTATTTTTGCCCAGGATTTTCCTGTTTCTGGGCAGTGCTTTCACTTGGTGGTTCCTTGGTCTACTTGTCTCTCCATTTCCATTGCGATGTTTTTTGGGGAAGGTAAATTATAAAACTGATAGTTATTTGGCTGAAAATCTGGAAAATTCAAAATAAAGAAATGATCACCCATAATTTCACATTATCAGTTTTTTAAGCATGCAATTTAAAAAATGTGGCCATAATCATAGCATACATGTACTTTAAATCTTGCTTTATTTCATTTCATGTATTAGTTTTTCCTCCTTGTTAGCAGTCTTCAAAAACATTCTTTAAAATACTGTTATATCCCATTTCATTGATTGTATCATATTTTATGGAACCATCTTTATATGACATTTCTTTTTTTTCTTTTTCAACTTTTATTTTAGGTTCAGGGGGTATATGTGCGGGTTTGTTACATGGGTAAACGTATTGCTGGAGTTTAGTGTACAAATGATTTTGTCATGCAGGTAGTGAGCATAGTACCCAATAATTTTTTTTTAACCCTTATCTACTTTCCACCCCTCCACCATCAAGTAGGCACCATTGTCTATTGTTCCCCTTTGATTTTTTTGTTTGTGAGACAGAGTTTTGCTCTTGTTGCCCAGGCTGGAGTGCAATGGCATGATCTTGGCTCACTATAGCTTCTGCCTTCCAGTTTCAAGCAATTCTCCTGCCTCAGTCTCCCAAGTAGCTGGGATTATAGGCATGGACCACCACTCCTGGCTAATTTTTGTGTTCTTGGTAGAGACAGGGTTACACCATGTTGGCCAGGCTGGTCCTGAACTCCTGACCTCAGGCGATCCACCCACCTCGGCCTCCCAAAGTACTGGGATTACAGGTGTAAGCCACTGCACCCAGCCTGTTGTTAACCTCTTTGTGTCTATGTGCATTCAATGTTTAGCTCCCACTTACATGTAAGTGAGAACATGTGGTATTTGGTTTTCTGTTCTTGCATTAATTCGCTTAGGATAATGGTCTCCAGTTGCTGCAAAGAACAAGATTTTGTTAATTTTTATGGCTGCGTAGTATTCCATGGTGCATTTATACCACATTTTCTATATCCAATCCACCACTGATGGGCATCTAGGTTGATTTCAGATCTCTGATATTGTGAATAACGTTGCAATGAACATAACAAGTGCATGTGTGTTTGTAGTGGAACAATTTATATTCCTTTGGGTATACACCCAGTGATAGGATTGCTGGGTCACTGGTAGTTCTATTTCAAGTTATTTGAGAAGTCTCCAAACTGCTTTCCAGAGTGGCTGAACTAATCCCACCAGCAGTGTTTAAGCATTCCCATTTCTCTGCAACCTCACCAACCTCTGTTAGTTTGTGTTTTTAATGGCCATTCTGACTGGTGTGAGATGGTATCTCATTGTGGTTTTGATTTGCATTTCTCTAATGATTAGTGATGTTGAGCATTTTTTCATATGCTTCTTGGCCACATGTATGTCTTTAAGACGTATCTGTTCATGTCCTTTGCCTACTTTTTATTGAGGTGGTTTGCTTTTTCCTTGTTTATCTAAGTTCCTTATAGATTCTTGATATTATAACTTTGAATTACATAGTTTGCAAAAATTTTCCCATTCTGTTTACTCTGTTGAGAGTTTCTCTTGCTGTGCAGAAGTTCTTTAGTTTAATTAGGTCCCACTTGTCTTTGTTTTTATTGGAATTGTTTTTGGAAACTGCATCATGAAATCTTTGCCAAAGCCTATACCAGAGTGGTATTTCCTACATTTTTTTCCTAGGGTTTTGATAGTTTTAGGTCTTATATTTAAGTCTTGAATCCATCTTGAGTTGATTTCTGTATATGATCACAGGAAGGGATCCAGTTTCAATCTTTTGCATATGACTAGTCAGTTATCCCAGCACCAATTATTAAATAGGGAATACTTTCCCCATTGCTTGTTATTGTTGACTTTGTCAAAGACAAGATGGTTGTAGGTGTGTGGCTTTATTTTCTGGTTCTCTAACCTGTTCCATTGGTCTGTTTTTCTACAGTACCATGTTGTTTGTATTACTGTAGCTTTGTGGTACAGTTTGAAGTCAGGAAGTATGATGCCTACAGCTGTGTTCTTTCTGCATAGGATTACTTTGGCTATTTTGGCTCTTATAGTTTATTATGAACTTTAGAATAGTTTTTCCTAATTCTGCAAAAAATGTCATTGGTAGTTTGATAGAAATAGCATTGAAACTGTAAATTGCTTTGGGCAATATGGCCATTTTAACAATACTGACTATTCCTATCTATATACATGGAATGTTTTTCTATTTGTATAATCTCTGATTTCTTTAGCAGTGTTTTGTAATTCTCACTGCAGACATCTTTCACCTCCCTTGTTAGCTGTATTGCTAGGTGTTTTATTCTTTTTGTGGCTATTGTGAATGGGACTGCATTATTGAGTTTGCGCTCAGCTTGGACATTATTGGAGTATAGAAATGCTATGAATTTTTGTACATTAATTTTTGTATCCTGGAACTTGACCAAAGTTGAAACTGAAGTGAGTGAAATTGAGATGCGAAAATCCATACAAAAGATCAACAAAACCCAAAGTTTTTTGAAATAATAAATAAGAACAATAGACTTCTAGCTAGATTACTAAAAAGAGAGAAGACCCAAATAAAACACAACAAAAAGTGACAAAGGTGACATTACCACTGATCTCATAGAAATAACAAAAATCCCTCAGAGACTATTATGAACACCTCTATGCATACAAATTAGGAAACCTAGAATAAATTGACAAATTCCTGGAAACATACAACATTCCAAGATTGAACTAGAAAGAAACTGAAATCCTGAACAGACCAATGATGAGTTCCAAAATTGCATAAGTAACAAAAAACCTACCAACTAGAAAAAGGCCTGGGATGGAGGGCCAGATAACCAGATATATTCACAGCAAAATTCTTCAAAACATAAAGAAGAGCTGATACCATTCCTACTGAAATAAGTCCAAAAAATTTGGGAGGAGGGACTCCCTCCCTAACAATCTATGAGGCCAGAATCATTCTAATATCAAAACCTAGCAGAGACACAATGAAAAAAACCTTCAGGTCAATATCTCTGATGAACATAGACTCCTGATGAACAAAGTACAAGCAAATTAAATCCAGCAGCACATTAAAAGGCGAATCCACCACTATCAAGTAGGCTTTATTCCTGGGATACAAGGTTGGTTCAACATATACAAACTAATAAATGTGATTCATTATATAAACAGAGGTAAAAACAAAGACCACATAATTATCTCAATAGATGCAGAAAAGGCTTTTGATAAAATTCAACATCCCTTCATGTTAAAAACCCTCAATGAACTAGGCATTGAAGGAACACACTTCAAAATAATAAGATCCATCTATGACAAACCCACAGCTGACACCATGCTGACTAGGCAAAAGCTAGAAGCATTCCCCTTGTGAACTAGAACAAGACAAGGATGTCACCTCTCACCACTCCTATTCAACACAGTTCTGGAAGTCTTAGCCAGAGCAATTGGGCAAGAGAAAGAAATAAAAGGCATCCAGATAGGAAGAGAGTAAGTCAAACTATCTGTCCTCATAGACAATATGATTCTATATCTAGAAAACCCCATAGTCTCTGCCCAAAGGCTCCTAGAACTTATGACTAACATTTCTATGATTTGATTTTTTTGCCTATTGTTTATCCTAATACTCATGTTCCATTTTAGAAATATTTTCTTGGCATAGGTTTACAGTAATGGAGTTATATGGCTCAAAGGACATAACTGTTTTTTAGACTCTTGATCCATATTGCCACATTTTGTTCTGAAAAAGCTATCCTAATTTAGTGCTACCAGCTATATCAATTAGTACAACTTTCACAATATTTTTTCTACAATTGGGTACGTTTAGCTAATTTAATAGTACATTTAGTGGCCTGGTGCAGTGGCTCACGCCTGTAATCCCAGCACTTTGGGAGGATGAGGCGGGTGGATCACAAGGTCAGGAGATCGAGACCATCCTGGCTAACATGATGAAACACTGTCTCTACTAAAAATACAAAAAATTAGCTGGGCATGGTGGCTAGTCCCAGCTACTCAGGAGGCTGAGGCAGGAGAATGGCGTTAACCTGGGAGGCAGAGCTTGCAGTGAGCTGTGATTGGGCCACTGCACTCCAGCCTGGGCCACAGAGCAAGACTCCATCTTAAAAAAAAAAAAAAAAAAGAAAAAAAAATACATTTAGCTAATTTAATTATAATTTAATATGCTAATTTAATAACACATGTTATTTGACTATAGTTTTTTTTCTGATTAGTAGAATGGTTATTTTTCCATATATTTGTTTCTGGTTCATCTTTTATAAATTATCAAAATATTTTCTCCCTTTTGCAATACTGTGTATCTTAATAGCATATTTTTAAATCAATTTGGGTGAATGAAGACATTAACATTGTTATATTTACTCCAATTGTGTGTGTGTGTGTGTTTTTTTTTTGTCCTGTTCTTTTATTTTGGTTATCTTAGAGAAGTTTTGAAATTTAATAGAGCTAATTCTGTCTGCTTTTTATAAATTATTAAGCTTAAAAAGTTGCCTAACCAAAAGGAATACAAAGGAAAGAAAGAAGAAAGTTTCCCTATTGTCTGAGGTTGGTAAATATTACATTTGTTCTTGTCTTCAGGCCTAGCCATTGTGTTAGCTAGATAAATATGCTCGAAGGTCACAGTCAGCTCTCCTCAAGGAGGCAGCCAAATGAGACGGGATCAACGCATGGGTAGAGAGCTTAACTCTGAAGAGAAGAGCCTCTTTCTCTGGGTTTAGATGATCAAGGATTTGGATGCATTGTGAGTGCTGAGGCAGGAGGCTGAGGTAGTCCCATGTGGACAGTGAGGGGAGGGAGAAAGGGTGTGATAGGACATCCTTGCCGAATTTCTTCATTATAGACCCAAGCCCTCTTAACACTCACCATGCAATTACTAGTGTTTTTCCCCTTTGGAAATAACCTGGGACTGTTAACTGCTGTAATGCACTAAGACATATCAAGACCTTGCTGTGCTTTTATCCGAATGAGAAAATTTACATAATTGACACAAAAGGGACTTGTAAACTGTTAATAATACCTGTAAAATTCCTTTTAGAAGTCTGTATAAAAATTGTTTCTCTTGGCTCCTTACTGCTGCTACTAAAGAAGAGGAGCTTGACTGTTAAACCCTTCACAAACGTACAGGATTAAAAGTAGCTGGTCTCACTGCTACTCACTTCTGCTCTAGTAGGAGTTTCATATGCATCCAGAAACTCCTCCACTTTCATCTCCTCCTACCTGCCACACCTATGCCTTTCAGTAGACACCTGGTTGCAAACTCCGGATGTCCTTTTCAAAGAGGCCCGGATCCAGATTTGCTCTTTTATATAAAGGAGAAA